AAAAAAAAAAAAAGAAAAAAAAATTCTGCAGTGGGGATTCATGCATTTCCATCACACCAGTTCACAGACTTTGTAGTAATCAGAAGAGAAAACTGTTGAAGTTGCACACAGTACAGTAATAAGAGTGTTGTTAAAGAGTGTTTTTTTTTTCTTTCTTTCTTTTTTTTAAGATTTATTTATTTATTTGGCAGAGAGAGAGATCACAAGTAGACAGGCAGGCAGAGAGAGAGGGGGAAGCAGGCTCCCCACTGAGCAGAGAGCCCAGTGCGGGGCTTGATCCCAGGATCCTGGGACTATGACTTGAGCTGAAGGCAAAGGCCTAACCCACTGAGCCACCCAGGTACCCCTAAAGAGTGTTTTCTTGATCAGCAATATGAAGAAACCTCAGGGAAGCCTGTTTCGTTCTTCAAATTAATAATTATCTGTACAGAAAAGCACTCCAATGGCCTTATATCTTCCTCACTAGGTTACTTGAAATAATCAAAGGATAAGAATACAGTTGACTATCATAAACTAGGTATTTTGAAAAAGAAAAGTAAAAGCAACTTCTAAGCTGTGTGCTGAAGTGTGTATATATTCAGTTTATGGTTTTATGTACATACACAGTACATAAATAATATCCAGAATTATTTTCCTTTAACATTGAAAGACCCTGAATCACCATAAAAAAATAATGTGAAACACTTTGAAAGATATTGTATGAGTCAAAACACAACTTTGCATTATAAGGGTTAAACTTAAATAACATAATTCTGTCATCAAAAAATCTTCCAGCCATGCCAAATAACACTACTCTGGGACCTGCCCCATTCTCAGCTAGCCAAGCAGCATTTTCCACCATGGAGATCAGTTTTTAGAAGGGAAAATTTTAAAACACAGTCAAGGAATATCATAAAACACATATGATCACAATGGCAAAAATCCAAACAAAATTTTCCACCAATATTTATCAGTTAGACTAGTTCTGTACATTAACCTTCTATTAGTAAGTGAAAAAAAAATACCTTTTTAATATTCAGAGGTCCTCAGAACACTTTGAGAATTAAGGAGGCTTCAACTTCCAGCAGGTCCTCTGTAGGACCTAATCTTTGAGATACTGCTGATCTCACAAGGGTAGGGAAAACTTCTACCAAACAACCAACAATAGCAACACAAACAAATGAACAAAAGCTCTAGGTCTTGACCTGTGGGCTGCAGACACACTGAGGCGCAGGGTTTCTCATGGTAGATGCCCATCGTAGTATGGAGGTGTGGCATTTCCCCTGAGAAAGATGCCTACAACAGAATCCAGAGCCATCAGTGAAGGGGAGCTGAGTCTAGGGCTTTTGAATGGAGCCAGGTTTCTTAAGGGAATTTGAAATAGTCACAAGTCAGTGGCACTTCTGTCTTCCAACAGAAGAATCTGCAAATTCTTTTTGGAGGCACGAATTCCCAGTTTAGACCCTGTAGGATTCCCACAATTTAAGGTCAATATACGAGTTTAAAATAAAATATCAGTCAATAAGCACATTAAGAAGTCAGTCACTTGAATGACATTTATCAAAAATAAATGAAAACAGGGAGCCTGGGTGGCTCAGTGGGTTAAGCCTCTGCCTTCGGCTCAGGTCATGATCTCAGGGTCCTGGGATCAAGCCCCACATCAGGCTCTCTGCTCAACAGGGAGCCTGCTTCCCCTCCTCTCTCTGCCTGCCTCGCTGCCTCCTTGTGATCTCTCTCTGTCAAATAAATAAATAAAAATCTTTTAAAAAAATAAATAAAAACAGATTTAGATCCCCCCACCCCATCCCATACAAGGAGAACAGATAATTGGGATTGGCTGATAGAGAATATAGAATAGCTGTGTATGAACTGTTTCAAGAAAGAGGGCAGAATCAGAGCTGTGAACAAGCGACAATAGACTATCAGGAATGACTAGGCATATTGGAAAATAAATCAACTTATTTAAGGAAGTGAAACTTAAACAGTGAAATATATAATTATTGAAATAAAAATTCAGTGAAAGGGTTAGTTACCGGACATAGCAGAAGAAAGGACTACTGAACTGGAAGGTAAATGTCAAGAAATTACTGAGATCGAGAATCACAGTGCCTTAAGAATATGTCCGTCCAGAATCTGCTAGGATTTGAAGCCTCTTGGTTCTTGAAGGATTCATAGGGTCTTTGAATATCAGAAAAGTCTGTCGTCTTCACTAATCAGTAGAAGAGTAATGTACAGAACTGTTCTTACTGATGAACTTTGGTGAGGAATGTTTCCTTTTTTCTCATTGTAATGATGTATCTTTTGGGATCTTATTTAACTCTTGTTCCAGTGTTTACTTTTGTATTCAATGTTATTGAGTAATTGATGACAAAAAGATGGAAAATGTAAAGGAGAAGTTTAGAAATATTGAAGGCTAGAATAAGGTCTAACACTTCTCTAATTCGTGTCCGAACTGATAAACAAGTGAGACCATGATGCAGAAAACACGCCCAAGAGAATAAGTGAAAAATCCATTCCAAGGCACACTGCAGTGAAACTGCAGGATACTGAAAACTAAGAGAGTGTATAAAAGCAATCAAAGAGAAAAGAAAAAAAAAAAAAACACTTCAAAGTCAATTGACAGTAGCCTCTCCACAGCAACAGTGGAAGCACAAAGATCATGGGATCTGAAGCGAGATGGAAGATAACGAAGTTCTCTGTAATCTTTCAGCAGTGAGAGAGAGAAACAAAACTGTTTACAGGTTCAAAAAAAAAACTGAGAAACTGAAGTAATAAATTTCAAGGATAGTAAACCATAGAGAGCAGAAGATGTTTGCAATACCTGGAACAGACAGCAGATTAGTATCTAGAGTATATAAAGAATTTCTAAAATTCAGTTTTAAGGAAGAGCCTGGTGGAAACTAGGGAATGAAAAATCACGAAAATACAAATTAAGATCACACTTAGATTCTGTTTGACACATACTACATTGTCAAGAATTAAGAAGTCTGACAATACCAATTATTAGAGGGAATGGAAATTGATTAAAAATCACTCTGAAAATAGTTTGGTGTGATCTTGTAAAATTTCACATTCACTTATTGCACAATCCAAAAAACTCTGCTCCTAGGTAACTCTTGTACACCTGCATCATAAAACATTTACAAAAATATTTATCAAAGCACTGTTTGTAATAGCAGAATATTGGCAACAGTTTTAACATCCATCAACATGAGAAGATATCAATAAATTGTGGGATAGTCATACAATAGAATATTACGAAATTGTGAAAATGAATAAATCCTAGCTTTTCACAGAAAAGTTTTAGTTTTAGTTTTAGAAACCTAATACTAAATTAAAAAAAATGAAAATCCCAAAGTACTATATGAAGCATCATACCATTTAATAAAGTCCCCAATAAGCATAACTGACCAATGTATTACTCAATTTTTACATATGATGTGACAAAACTGTATTTTCTTTAAGGTCAAGAAAACAATAAACACAAAATTGAGAATAATGATTACTTTGTCGAGAGGACATGAAGGGCAGGAGTTGAATAGGGCAAGAATTTCCGGTCAATGATTTTAAATCTCAGCAGTGGGCTCATGTGTGATAATATCTTGTTATGTTTTATAATTACATGTATTTTCTACATGTTTGTAATTCATATTACATTTAATAAGGTAACAAAAAAGGAATTGCCTTGTGATATCTCAGTCATGGCTTAGGATAGAGAAATATCAGAGATGGCCCAGAAAGGAACTTAAGGGACATACATCTTCAAAGAGTCAACAGATTTTAATTGAAAACTACTGTTGGCATTTGGGTCATCTCCATTGGCTCCCCATGGAGCTCACAATTTTAATTGGGCTTTGAGGTAGGGACAGAAAATAAACACTTAAATATAATAAGTAAATTATATGGTATGTTAGAAAGTCCTAAGTGCTATTAGGGGAAAAAAAAAAAATTACAAACCTAGAGTAGAGTGAAAGAGACCAGGAGCTCCAGACAAGAGGCAGGGGCAAGGACAGGCCACAGTATTAAATAGGGTATGTAAGCCTCATTGAGAAGTTGAGATGTTGGCAAGACTTGAAGGCAGTGAAGAGAATAGGCAGGTGTATATTTAGAGGAAGAGCTTTCCGCGTGAGAGAGAGAAGTTAGGAGTGACTTCAAAGAGTTGGCTTGGGAAAAAAAAGAGTTTGGCTTGAGAGATTCAGAGGATGATAGTACCACCTGAGACTGTGAAATCTGCTGGTAAAGTGAGCTCGCAGGGAACAGTCCAGAGTTTCAATGCTGGACGTGCTGGGTTTGGTAGCTGTTGGATTTCCAAGTGACATGTCAAGTCACCAGTAGAAATAATTGTCTAGAATTCAAGACACAAATCTGGAGAAAGTGAAAATGCATGTCAGTGGCGGGCCAATACCAGTTCAGGGATTTTGTACCAAACAGGGCCAGATACGTTTGAAAAAGTTAAGAATTGAGTGTCATGGAGATGAGCACAGTAGAAATGAATAAGAACACTCTGAGAACAACAACAAAAAAATGGAGTTAGCAAACATTTCCAATTAAAATTTCTTTCAGGTCTGTCAATAAAGTACAAATACAACAGAATTCAATTAGCCCAAATCAATCTATTTGCTGTTTTGAGATGGCAGTCCATTGTCTGAGGATCTGCATATTACTTTTCCTGTTCTTTCCTATTATTATTTTTTTGTAGGCTATGACAGTTATGAAGCACTCTTTCAACTGCATAAGTAAATGAAACCAATTCTGTAGGAAATTATGCAACATAGAGAATTCGAAAAAATTATCCACATGTGGATTTTTATTGGCCCTGATCATGTTTTAGAATGAAGTGATTATAACTTGGCCAAATGGCTTAGCACAATAATAAAGGCTGGGGCATACTGCTGGAATGATTTGCAGAGAGACTGAACTGATTACATGGTGTTTTATTTGCATTACATTAAATCCAGAGCACTTCTTAGAGCATGCTGAGGTCCACATGTAGAGCCAAGATACATTGAATGACATCAGTTGGATGTGGTCACTGTTTCAGAGCTAAAGAAGGACACTGTGATCTTCTGGTTCTGAATCTTATAGCAAAGAAAACTGGCAGTTAAGTGACTTGTCTGAAGTCACCAGTGACAGAGCCTGCCTTTTCTGATAGCTAGGCCAGTGTGCCTTTTGCCAGATGTTGCTGCTTCCATGTGTTATAAAGACCTAAGATTTGCTTCTTTTCTCCATATCCTTTTGCAGGGTTTCTTCCGGAGGACAATCAGATTGAAGCTCATTTACGATAGGTGTGACCTTAACTGTCGGATCCACAAAAAAAGTAGAAATAAATGTCAGTACTGTCGGTTTCAGAAATGCCTTGCTGTGGGGATGTCTCACAATGGTAAGTGAACACTTAGCACGAATGCTTTACTGTTCTCATTATGGCTGCCAGAGCAGGAGCCTCTAGGGCCATTGCTGAAAATGTATACAGTTTCCCACAAAATGCCAGATTACAGAACAGTATATGCTGATAAAGCATTTCTCATTTCCGTCAAAGTCTAGGCTTTTAGTGTAGAATCCTTCTCTCTGTGGTTGGGCATCCGCCATGATGGAAGAGAAGACATGAAAATATGAGAAATGGAAGAAATAACTAGTATTTTAAAATGAATGTAATGATTGTGATTAGTTTTTAATGTTGCTTTAATAGCATTAAAAACAGAATTATGCTTGTATGTCTCAGTAGTTTCTTTCCACTTTAAATGTAAGAAAATTCTGCAGGTTTCTGGATATGGAACTTTAAGTGGCGTATCAGAATTTAGAATATATTCCTTTTTTCGCCTCTTTACTATGCAAAGATGATTGTAGGCACAGCAGTATCCTCATCTTCAAGGAGCATGCAGACTTGTGGATAAAGGAAAGAATTTTAAGGTTCCACAAAACTTCACTGTCCATAGAAACATAATAAAACTTTGTTTTTCAAACCCATATCGAAAATCAAAGCATGTCAACTTAAGAGAAAGAATGCGGACGACCTGAGAAGACCCTTGTTTTCATGAGTTATAGAACTAACTCAGTAAAATCATGGAACATAGGCCTGTTTGAAGAAATAGTTCTTGATTTCCATTTAGCTCGGATTGGTGTTAACAGAGTCACAAAATAAATTGGATAGTAACCTGATAATATTATATTTGTCAAATATTAGTTCTTTGAAAACTCATTATGGGCTCAAGAAATATAAAATGCCAAAGGGATCAAATAAAATCCAAAGTCTCAGTTCACTGGATATTCTGCTTTTTTCTTTCTTTTGCCTTCATCTGTGTCCAAACTGATTTGGTGAAAAAATAATGTTTGAAGTCAGTCTTCATAGGTTAGGACTCCAAAGCATCTGTGAAAATTAAACTTATATTCCATCATGCAGATGTTTGGTTTTCTCAGTGGACATCTTCAAAATATTTGAGAATCACTCATTGGTTTATATCCAACTCTTTAAAAATAGCTCACAAAATTATAGTTTTATAATTAATGTGGGTTATTTCCTCTAAAGGCAAGAATATATTATGAAGAGATCTATCAGCTATCCTGGACAGGAGGGAAATTTGGTCTGACTTTCTTCACAGTTGATTACATCTGCTATGTAGCAGTAGACAACTGCAGGCATTGATTGCAAAATAATTTACTGGTTTGATTCCATCAATTTCCTTTCTGTTTCAGACTCCATAAAACATAAGGGCACATTTTCAAGTCAAGGGTTATGTTTTAGATGATGTAATCAAGTTGCAGTAAACTTGTTTTATCTTTATGAAGAAATCTTTGACTTTGAAATCATTATTACCAAGACTGCCTAGAAAAGCATCCCATGTCTTCTTTTAGTGGTATTTATTTTTTGCTCTTTAAAAGTCTGTCACTTCAAAAAAAAAAAAAAAATTTGTCACTTCACATATATTTCCTGTTGCTTGCACACATTCATGTAAAATACATCTCCTTTTGCTTATTGGTTATGGGCAAATAATATTTAAAGCCCAACAATCTATGTAGTATGGATAGTATAATTTTCTCTTCCCAGGAAAGTCAAAGAAAGCCCATAAACTTAATAATACAGTTATCATTTGCTTTCAAATGACAATTAATTTATTCTATTTAGAGAGAAGAGCAGTCTTGATAGGGAGTGTTCAGTTCTTTTTGGAAAGACAAAAAAAAGGAATTAAATGTTCTGGCATCAAAGACTTACGAAGTTCAAGATTTACAAGATTGCAACTGTGACTAAGAAAATCCCTTCTAAGAGGTTTTTATGGGAATGTGTTTGCTGCACAGAAAATATCCATTTGATCTGTGCACAAGAAGGGAAACTCAACAGCGAGGTTTTGAGTAGTTTTGCCTGTTATCCTGAGAAAGGAAACATTTCCAAATACAAAGTTTTCTAGGAGGTTGTAGTAACTATTTAAAATTATTTTGTTAATTTATTAATGTTTTATGTGAATGGACCTCACTGTAATAACCCAACTAACTTGTCAAGAGCCTTCTAGTGTTATACCAAAATCAGGACCTCAGTACTTTCAGTACACACAAGAAGAGATGAACACCCTCCCAAAGTAAACTGTTTCTGCTCTTTGGTTTCTGTTTTATCCTTTTGATGAATGTAGCTTGTGCATTAGCCACCCATGCCCAGCCTTAAAGGAGGCTTCTGAAGAAACCTTCAAGGAATCCTCAGGGCCTGAGGAACATCATTGAAAAGTCACTGAAACAATGATTGCTAAATCCTTTCAACTTTGAAAGTTCTGTGATTCTACATAACTAAAACAAGCTACCTCCCTGAATTTTTCACTTTTCAACAAACTGAACCATATTTTGTAGACATTGTCCCCGTTTTCTCAAGTATGTAGGTATCTGGCATCTGTCGACTACCTGAATTTAAAAGTTTCTACCTGTATGTTTTGGTGCCATAAAAATATAATTCGTATGCCTGAATTGGGTCTTCTGGATGTTCTGAAAAATTGCTCAGCAATTTAAGGCAGTACATTTGATGGTCACATAATGATGTAGCCTGAGAGTACAAATCCAAAATAGTCAAGGCTAAGGAAAGATTTTCTCTATGCCACTGAGATCTGAATGAAAATGATGCTTTTCATAAATATAAAAATTAGTGAAACCTTAACTTTACTGACCAGGACATTCTATTATATAAATTAGGGGGGGGGTCTGTTATTTTTTTTAAAAAAGGTGACAACTTTAAAAATAATTTCTCAGGAGCTTCATAAAAATCCAGAAAAAAATGGTTTTACAGATATTTGCAGTACTCAGTATTTTTAAAGGCAGTTCTCTCCTTCCTTGTGAAAAAGAAAAGCATGAATGGCAAATAAGTTTACTTCAGTGTGTTAGGTTTTTTTCTTTAGTCTTCTTTGTAATATAAAAGAAAATTACCCAAATGTTGATTTTCAGAAAATATCACCAAGTAAAAAGTCCCCACACATGGCAGCTGTGTGCTCAGACTGGCTAGGCTTTCATGGTTGCCTACACGCTAGCTTCCACCTCCCTTTCCCACTGCTGCCCTTTTCAACTTACACTTGAGGTAAACTGTGTACTTTGCCATTCCTGCACAGTGCTGTATGGTGGGATACTTCTGGGTCTCCGTTTATTATGTCGTTTGGTTCCTTGCCACAGTTCTACCTGGTATTCAAGACCCAGTTGAAATGCTGTCTTCCATGAGACTTTCTAATTCCCCCTCTTCCTCTTCTGTGTGTTTTATACCTTTCCCGAGAAACCACACTCTGCTTTAAAAAGCAAGGGAGTGATCAGATCGATATTACCAAAAACTAAACTACTGATAGCTGTAAAAAAGATAGACAAATACAGAAATTCATCAGAGGATAAGTGCAATTTTATACATTAAGACAATGGGAAGAGTGAGTGAGGAGAAATGAAATTGAGAAAAATGTCGGAGCATGACCAATGAATACAAGTGTCTGAGGGAAAGAGAGATTGTCAGAAATTGTTCGGGGTGTCTAGTTGGGTGATAGGATGAATTAACCAAGAAAGGGAAATGGGAAGAAGAGACAATTTAGAGGAGAAAATTAGAAGTTCATTTTTAAAGTTGCATTTGAGGGTCTTATGGGATAGCTAGCATCCGTGTATAAAGAAATACAGGAACAAGAGAAAATGCAGGGTCCAAATCGCAGGAAAGAGAGGGCAGCAGTCATTAGCACATTTTGTTAGTCAGAGAGGAGATTGAACTAGCAACAGCAGAATGGAAGGGAAGGAAGGGGCCATCAAAAAGGTCTGGAAAATAGGCAGAAAGATAGGAGAACCAGAAAAGCAGAAACCGCGATGAGAACAAATTTCAAGTAAGAGGGTGGAGAAGGTCAACAGTAGCAAAAGCTGGGAGAATGCTGGAGAGCTCAAGCAGAAACGAGAACTCCGGAGAGGCCCCTAGATCTGGCTGTCAGAAAGAACATGGGGAACTTTTAAGAACAAAGTTTTGGAAATTTAAATGAGGCATAGGAAGATCCCTGTAGGTGGTTGGGATGTAAATGGCGACAAGCACAGGCAGAGAAGGAAGACTCCTCTTTCAGTAACCTCAGTGGTAGAGGAAAGATAGCCCAAGGAGGAGGTTAAAACTAGGGTCAGAATCTGCTCTGGTGGAAGGGAAGGAGCTAGTGAAGAGGGGTGCATGAGAGAAAATAATCCATATATATGTAGGTTCTCCCCAACTAGACACAGCCTTTCATCCTGTGTCCCCAGTCCAGTCTGTCTAGCTCATATCTTGCATCAAACATGGGTTCAATGAATGAATTAAATGATACCAGGCAAGACTTCAGGGAGCTGCAGATAGAGTCATGTGAGGCAAAGGTGTTTTGCCCATCTCTACCTTGGAAAGAAACCTGGACAAATGTTTAAATGTCCTCTGCAAATAGTTTGAAGATGTTACCCCTGAATAATATGGTGCTAAGGCTGCTCCTTGTTTTACGTAGAGGAGCTAGAAAACCATAGTTATTAGATTCCCAAATCCTGCAAAACCGCAAAATGTACAAGTTTTTTTCTCAAGAAAGAGAGGTGGAAAAACAACTGATTGGCAACAGTCATATTAAAACCAATAGTGTTATATGTCTTATTTAGATGATAAGGCTTTTGGATAATAAACGTGTTAAAATTGACCATGAGACATAGCCTTACCAATTGTCAAAAGTCTAATATGATTGCAAAGTCACCCTTTGTATGTTGAAAGCCAAAGATACTTTTAGTAAGACTCAGTTCATTCTTTTGTTTTCTATTAATTTATAATTTTGAAAATTGTTTTAATTCATCTTTTAACTAAGTACCATTTTGTCTTTAAATGCTCCTACAATTAGGTATTTAAAAAACATTATTGTCATTAAGAAGTATTGTTTCTTAGCACTGTACCAAGAT